CCATCTAAAAGTGTCTGATCGCCGGTCTGTGACACAGCAAGTTGGGGGTGGGGGCTAGACTGGAGAGAACTGAAATTGAACACATCTTAATTAAAGCCCATAGACAGCAAAACAAAATGTTTTCTAGGCAGCCTGTCAAATGGGGCTTAAATTTAGCTCTGCTAATGAATCTGAGCTGCTAACTGTTATTTCTTAAGATAATAAGACTCTCACGGAAGCTGATAAAAAAAAAAAAAAAAAAAAAAACTGTAGCGTGTCTTTTCCTGCTGTTTTGTTACTTAAATATTTTCCAACAATGAAGACAGTTTTCCAAGAGGAAAACATGGGAAAAGTCTATGTAAATAAAGGGGCAGAAACATTTCTCTTAATAACCAACTAGTTGGTTTCTAGACTAACGGGCTGGTGAGTCACAAGTCTTTATGCATAGCCTAGTTTGGGGGAAAATGTTCATTTAATGGGACAATTTCAGTGACTATAATTGTAAAATTCCATCCTCCATTACTTCCTGAAAGAGAAGGCATATTAATTTGCAAAACCACTTCACCTGAGATGGAACAGCTTCACATGTGTACCTATTAATACAGTGAAAAGGCAGTGCATCTTTTGAAGGGTTTCACAGTTCTCCCCTATCACTGTTTCTGAAACTGAGTGGCTGGTCTCCCTGGGGAGGCTATGACCTCTTCCTCAGGAGAAAGGGAAAAAAAAAAAAATCCCACCACAACCTAGGGGAAATGAAGGGGAGGGGCTGAGTGAGGAAGAGAACTCTTTCTTCTCTTAGAACTTGAAAGAACTAATAGTCTAGGTCTAAATACTCTATGAAGAAAGCCTCACTCAACATAGAAGACTTGAAATGTTCTGTTGAAAGCAGAAATTAGGATCTGCTTAAAGAAAGAGAATAATTGGAAGCTAGAAAAAGACAAACTAAAACATGAACGATACCCACCCCCCCTGCAAATTCCCCAGTTGCTTTTCTCTTTTTACAATCTGTCCCGTTTTAAGGAACATGCAATTTAGTTTTGGAAAGCCTCTTCCCCAGTGAACACAGGGCCAGACAGTCTCTAGTTTTGCTTTGATGGTATAGCGAAACAACAACCTTTCACTGGTTAGTTGAAAGTAAGTCTTACTGAGTAGTATTTTTCAGTTACTGGAACTTTTTCCCTTATGACAAAGAATTTAGCAGACCAACTTTTTCAAATTGAGTACCACTTTCTCAGGCTGTGAAAGGCTGCCCATAATTTGACTGAAATTTCAATCCACTCTTGTGCCGTGCTCAATGCATGTGTATGTGTGGGAGTTGTAAATTGAGGCCTTAACCACCAGAGTTAATCTCTTTTTTAAATCTGTATTAACCTTAATGATTTGAAGTGCACTGTCCAACACTGGGCTATTGAGATAGAAGAAAAAACTACCCTTGACTATCAATAGTTTATTAGGGGCTTAACTGAAGTGACCTACTGTAGTAGTGTTCAGCTGAACAAGGCTATGGGCTTTTTGTGGAAAGGGAAAGAATTGAGGGTTTCATTAAAAAGTAATTTGTGCTTTATACTCACTCATTCAAAGAGAGTCTCAATTGCTCTTTATTCACACAGAGTTAATACAGTATCACAATGTTTCTCAATGAATGTGTTGCAACAAAAGAAAAATTTTACATTTTGAAAGGAAAAAATTCTTTGTAGCTGCAGTAAGATTGATGGCTACTTAAAAGATTACAGAATCTTTCTCTCCTGTGCTCATGTTTAAGGATTAAATATAAAAATTTTGAAGTTTTGTTTAAGATATGAGACTTGATGTTGACATCATTAAAAACATTTTAAAAATCGATAAAAGTTGGTAAAGTGTATTTGCCTTGTTATATTTCTTTAAAAAAAGTATTCTAATGCCAGATATTTTCTAACAATAGCTTCATTTGTACCAGTTCAGAAAATATTCTTGGATTCTCATAGGGAATTACTCATGATTTTAAAATCTCCCTTCTCTACTATGACACCCCTAGACATATGCCTATGCGAGGATCTGAAGACAGAATGATTCATTCAATTCCCTCTTTCATACTTTTGCTTAAAGTTAGGTAGAGCTTAACTGTTATGACCACTGAGATATACATCAACTTTTCAAAGTACTTTGAATAGGAGATAACGTAAATATATGAAGGGCTTATTTGTGCCCCAGGTTATTTATAATTTTGGAAGAAAAGATTATTTTTAAAATTGCCATTATATTCAGATATTCCTGATTTAAATCAATGGTAGTATATTCAGACATTTCTGACTTAAATCTATGGTCCTCAATTTTGCCACTATCACAAATGTCATAAAGACCACAAAAGGTCCAAGGGTGAGCAAGGTCAAAGACTGAATTATCCTCTTGCCCCTGAATAGTTCAACATCTCTCTTGTTCAATTCAGAGCCCATTAGATTATAAGGTCAGTGTGGAATGAAGAATCACTAGATTTATATCCTTAAAACTGAAGGAAAAAATTGAGACTCAGTTATTCAGTATTCCCCAAATTAATGTTCATTTAATCAAATCAAAATTATATCTCATTGAATCTTGAGGGGGAAAGGCTATTGTTATGCACAGCGATTTACATAAAATCATTAGGAAGGAAATATCTCTATTTTTTTCCACCTTTGAAAGAACATGTACTTTAACTTCCATAGTGGCACATAGGCCAACTAGGTTAACGTAGTTTGCATATTCATGAAGTTTTAAAATCAATGACAGCTCCTTTCTAAGACAAGACAAACTTATACAATTGACTCAGCTTGAATAATGGGCAGGTAGCTAAGCTTTTGAAATAAATGATATGTGGGTTATTCTTTAAGAAATGACGGTGTTCAGATTAATTTGATGATAACCATACAAGAAACCAAATTCATAAAAAGAAAATGAATAAACTTAATATTTGCCAATTCTTTGTTATAACAGCCAAGTGTCAAGTTAGTATGCATGTAAAGAGATTCAAGCTACCTTCTCACCCAGTATTTTCAGGTATCCGTATTTCAAAGAAAACAGTTATCATCCTCAGTTACAAATGAGGTGATAATTATCTCTTTATAGAAACTGTAAATCCCCAATATTTTAATTTTTAACACATATTATAGTCACTTGATGATATGAAAGTATTAAAATTTTTAAATATTGCTAGTTTGGAGCTAACCTATGTTATTTTAGTTTGAAGGGAGTTATGTTTTCATTTGTTTTCAATTCTGTTGAATGAAGTAAAGAAAGGCACAGTGATCTGCAGACCTTTAAATGTTAAGAAAAGTGTAGTTCTTTCATTTAAATAAGTCTTGCTGTATCAGGGTTATTTTGCTGAACTTTCACAATGGTAATCATATTTCCACAAATGATAAGTGAAAACTTTCTAGAACGGTGAAAGTTGCATAAAACTGGCAAGTCAGTACTATCTTATTATTCAACTTGAGATAGATAATTAAATGACTGGTATAAACATCCTTCAAATCCTTATGAAATTAAAAAATAAATGAATGGTCACAGCTCCAAACTTAAAACAATGATTTAATGCTGCAAACTGAAACAATCATCACCATCCCATTTGTTAATATGTCAAAGAATAGTAATACTAACGTCAGAGAAGATATCATGTCCTGGTTGAAAAACTTCAAGTGATGTACATATCTAATCTAGATACATAGTTATCTTTGTAGTATGCTGAAGAATTTGTGCAACTAAAGAATTGGAGCAGCAGCCCAAATATGGACCGCTCATACTAGTTACTGAACATACATCTGAAATTTTCAGTGACCAACACAACACATTTTATGTATGCCTGAATTACAACTGTTCATGCACTGAATTATGACTGCTCAGCATTGCTTCAATATGCCAAAATAAAAATACTTGGAACAATTAATCCTACTACATGGATTGAACTTTGGGGAGGAAAATAATTCAGAAGTCATTTTGATTTCTATTGTTTATTTTTAATGTATCACCCTGTGTTTTTTTAAAAAAGAACTGGGGCCTGGAGAATGGCTCAGCGGTTAAGAGCACTGACTGCTTTTGCACAGGACCTGGGTTTGATTCCCAGCACCCACATGGCGGATACAAACCGTCCTTAACTCCAGTTCCTGGGGACTCTGAAGCCCTTTTCTGACCTCCGCAGCATTGCACTACAGGGGTGCACTCACATACATGCAGGCAATATACTCATACACATAAAATAAAAATAATAAGTAAAATAGTTAAAAAAAGAACACTGGTTGTTCTAGCAGAAAACCTGGGTTTGAATCCCAGCACCCACATGGCAGCTAACAACTGTCCATAACTCCAGTTCCAGGGGATCTGACAGCTTCTTCTGACCTCTGTGGGCATTGCACGACACAGGTGCACTTATCTACAGGCAGGCAACACACGCATACACATAAAATAAAAATAATAAAATTTCTAGGGGTTGGAGAGATGGCACAGCGGTTAAGAACACTGGTTGTTCTTGAAGACCTGGGTTTGAATCCCAGCACCCATACAGCAGGGAACAACTGTCCGTAACTCCAGTTCCAGGGGATCCGACAGCCTCTTCTGACCTTGCCGGCATTGCAGGACACAGGTGTACTTACCTACATGCAGGCACTACATGCATACACATAAAATAAAAATAAATTAAAAAATTTTTTTCTAAAGTTTAAAAAAAGTAACTGTAGTGCCGGGCATGGTGGCGCACGCCTTTAATCCCAGCACTCGGGAGGCTGAGGCAGGCGGATCTCTGTGAGTTCAAGGCCAGCCTGGTCTACATAGTGAGTTCCAGGACAGCTGGGGCTACAGGGAGACCCTGTCTCAAAAAGACCAAAAAATAAAAAAATAAAAAGTAACTGTATAGAAATCTGGAGATTATTAAATCTCTGTAAGATCAACTCTGAATCTTTGTATTTATATCATTCACTTTGATGATCCACTAACAGTAAATGCAAAATTGGAATATTCACTTTCACAGACCTGCATGTTGAGATGAGCAATAGAAGAATGGCATCGTTTCCTACCTGTGACATCAGCAGCCATCAAACCTTCTGCTCTGATGACTTTCACCTGGAGAAATCCCACATCTTTTAGGTTGTGAAATATCCGCAGTGGACTCTGAAAAACCCCAACATGGTTAGTCTTAGAAACCTCAAAAGGTGTCTCAAAAAAGTATGCTTTGAAAATTCTAAGTTTTCTCAGGATGCTGCCTCGGGGGTAAAAGGGTCATTTGCGCTTCTCCAATACAAATTATGCTCCCACTGTCAGGCATGTACACACACACACACACA